CGACGTTTTATGGTTCCTGGAGTATGAAAAAATAGGTGTCCCGTTTCTGTTTCTTGTCTATTTTTACTAAAAAGTTGATGATGTCATCACAAAATTGTTCTGAGAAAATCAATACTATATACTTTTTACTGCCCGAGCGTAAGCGAAGTAAGTATTGCAATCGAGTCCGTCGGCCGACCCTCTACTTTTTTTTTCTCGACCTTTCATGATCCCTAGAGTACGAAGAAATAAGTCTCCCGTTTCCGTTTGTCTGTCGGTGTATTTGTCTGTCTGTCTGTTCGTCTGTCGTCCCGATTTTTATTAGACAGATAATATCCGAAAGTACTGGGCCGATAGTGTCAAATTTTGTATTTATATTAGGAATATCATGTAGATAATGTGTCTAATCATCCCCACCAATAATGTGATGACGTCATTTCAAAATTGTACAATAGTAAACGGGTTTTAGATTGTATGAAATAACATAGTCCTACACATGTAGTTTGTGATTCCGTATTGAGTTTTTATCTGAAATGTCCAGATTTTTGTAAAAAAATCAAAATTATAAAACAACATTTTGCAATTTAATTTTCAATCTGCAAAACGAATGCTTTGAAATCTTGCAGATGTTTCAAAGTTATGATAAGCATGATAAATGCATGATGAGTCTGTACTTGTGATTTATCATTCCATTCACATTTTTTGGATTTGCATAGACAGGGTGACTAAGAAAAATTAATGAATACCTGAAATTATTTTATTGATTTAACCAGGAACTACAAAACCGAATGCTTTGAAATCCTGGAGATGTTTTACAATTATCATAAGCATGGCAACTTTTTGATCAAAATGTATTTGATTATCCCTCCATAAACAATTGACGACGTCACCTAAAAATTTTGCTGAATAAATTATCTTAAATGTGCGAAGTATGATGATTCAATACTTTTGATTTATTACTGCATTAATATTTTTTTAAGTTTGCTTGTACGGGGTGTCTCAAAAAAATTAATAACTGAGTCAATTTTTTTAATTGATTAAATCAAGAATTGCAAAAGTGAATACTTTTGAAGTTATTGTAAGCATGACAACTTTTTTACTTTTACTTTCATATTACTTACACATCTTTATTTTGACTTACAAGGGTTGTCATAAAAAAAATAGCAAAATCAAATCTTATAAATCAATCAAAAAGTTGATTTCTTCTACTTTACTTCTGGAGCGAGGGAAGTCGAAATAACCTTCGACCAATTTTTTAACTATAGTTTAATAAGAAAAGCTTCCTTTTTTTATTTATAACTCATAAGGGTTATCATATTCACATACATGTGTATCTTTTCCAAATGTAAGAAATTAAGAATGATTTTTTTTATTAATTTTAATTAACTTATTTTAAGTAATAATGTGATTTAGTAATGTTTTATACTCTATGTAAATTATGGTTCATTTTTCACAAAATTTAGTTAATAATTTTTTGAGATATAGTCATTAATTTTTCGATGTGGAAAAATGTATTGATCTTGATACCTATTGTCCGAATTTCAGGGAAATTAGATGAACCGTTTTCTAAGACAATGGATATAATTGCTCGTCTAGTCGTTTTTTTTTGTATTACTTTTTTAAAAAGTACTAGATACATACAATACAAAAGTGATACTTAAACTAAAATGAATGAACTTTTTAGAGGATGTGTGAAAACAAATTTTGATTAGCGTTTTATTAATATTACGATAATCCTAAAAAAATTATAATCACTACAGCAGTTTCTGAGATTATCAGTTCGTAAACCAAGATTGGTGCAAAAATGAGAAACCTGCATTATCATAATATATATTATCTAAATATCCAAAAAAAGGTCAATAAAGTTCCAGGAAACAATAACTTTGAGACCTTTAATCTTATTTTTCATGACCAAAAAAGTTTGCTTTTGTGCATCAGTGCAATTTGAGTGAAACTGGGCGTGTTTGTAGCATAATATTTAATGCGGATAAGTAACAAGAACAAGTTAGACGATAAAATAGTTACTAGCCAAGAAAAAAAAAAAAAAACTAATAAAATTTTAACGATATTAGGATACTAAACAAGTGCAAATTATGCAATTGAACTAGTAATGCAGGAATTTGTCAAAACATTTTAAAGGTGTTTTCTCTATATGTCATAATCTAGTACAAATATAAATTATAGATCTTTAACGAGTGTAATTTCTATTTAGGTAGACGTTCTTTACGCTGAAATTGAATCTCTTCCTAGAATAAATAATAATTTAGATTGTTAATATTTTTATTAATATTTACATATACACGATTATCTTAATTAATTGTTTGGACTATATTTAATTAATTTTATCAAGGAGTACTTTTATAGCAGTCATTAGAAAATCACGTCGATAGTATGAGATCATACTTTCAAAGCACAAATTTTTAATAAATTTTGTATTAAACTATGTTATTACTGGTATTTACAATGTTTTTACACAGGTTGTTCCTGCACTGTTCTGTTGCCGTAAAATGTTATACAATTACAATAAGTTTGTAGTATTTTCAGTAGTAGGTAGTAGGTAGTAGATTTTTCGACGAAAGCTGTAATTTAATTACATTGGATTTAATCAAAATATTAAATTTTTAATAATTCTGAATGCATTACTTATTACACACGAACATTTATTTTTTTTATTACTCAGTTCAGTTCTTATGAGTTATTGGATTTTCGTTTTCGATGTAGGTATTACAATAAAAACGTCTCACATTTTCGCTATGTAAAGTTGCCGCTGATATGTGTCCGTCCGATCCATTGTCGTAGTTGCTTTTTCCGGGAATGCGCCAGAGAAATGGAAGTTTCCGACAGACATTCTCTCCACAATCTATTTTTATTACCTCATTCCGAACGGATACTAGTCGGTAACTTACTGTACTTATTTCTTCTCTCGATTCTTGAGAGAAAAAGTTTTTTCTATATAGATTTATGTTTTTATTTGAATATTTGATGTTAAGTTTTGGGTTTATGATATTGGCATAGTCGTTAAAACCGCTGTTGTATGAATTCCCATATCCTTCACAGTTCGAAATTTTTCTAGCTTGATGTTACAAGGCGGAATTCTGGTTAACTAAAATTTGTCAAATATTAAATGCTTGTTTACATGAAAATATGAATATAAAAACAGCGAACAATTTTAAAGACAGAAAAGTAAAAGTTGGTTCGGAAGGAGCAAAATTGGAAAAAATGTGTAATATTTTAGAAAATACAACGGTTTCACCTTTGGTTGCGTATACTTGCTTACACGTAGTTGTGTCAATTTAATTAATTTGAGAAATAATACCTCTACGATTTGTATTTTTTGGATGAATCCTGCATAATTTTAATTAATTATGATTCAAATTGATAATTTTGTATTACAAAATTAGTAATTGGAAAGTTGGAAATCAAAAAATACAGGTAAAGACCAATTTTAATTTCATTATCAAAAACAGCGCTTTCACTTTTAAATTTCTGTGTTCGTGTTCTTGGATGCATCAACATATTTCTCAATTTGCGGGGGAATTTATTTCCAGTAAATTTATTTTTCTGAAGTCCGAAGCTTGAATGAAAAATAGATATGAAATTCGTGTCACTAGCATTTTGTCAGACCCACGTCTCGAAAAGTAAAAAAAAAGAAATCATTTCAAGGCTACGTTGTTTGAAAGTAGAACAAAACGACGAACTTTTAAAATATCGTGTCAATAAATCAAATCACGTGGACCGAAGATCTTATTATGTAGTTGTGGTATTAATTTATCGACTTTTTTGTCGACCCATGAAACATTTATGTGGTTATATAATGCGGTTTTTAAGAAATTCATCCAAATCTCGAAACGGCGAAATATGGCATTTCTTTGCCATTTTTAGCATGGTGTTACACTCTGACATTCATTTTGGAAAAAGTAAGATTAAATTACGCAGGTATTTGCATCGTTTAATCAGCGTAATCGATGCATACATAAAATTATTCGGTCAAAAATATGAGTGACTTCAAAATATCGCGTGCCATCACGTATTGTTTTATGTAAATTTTTACTGCCATCGTTAATTTTAATTAACACGAATTTGTCCAGAAACACTGTTTTGGTCAGTTCTATGGCCATTATGAGAGGTGTCTGGTTCATTCGAATTAACTCCGAATATTTGCTCAAATTATAACAATGGCAATTACATAACGAAATTGCCGAGTTCGTACACCCATGTGTGTGTTTATCCGTTTTCGAATTGATATTTAAATAAAATTACAAGACAAACGTTATGGTCTTATGGTTATCAGCCTCGCCCATGCTTTATTGTCGCGATCATTATCATTAATAACAGGGTTGATATTGCGAGACTGTCGAAAAGAGAAATTTTACGTAGTCCCGGTGAAATTGGTCTATATTTAAATCATTCGATATTATGTCATTGCAATGCTATCTTATTTAATGTAGAAGATGCCAGTTTAATATACTTTCTTCCGCTGCTGCAGTTTTTTTATTTCTCTCGGAGAACGCATGAATTAAAAGCAAATAGCTTACTCCGACGATCTTGTTTCTGGATTTAATAGAATTTTATGTAATTTTAAATGTATTTCACGAAAATGAGCAAAAACGACTGAAATAATAACTTTGGAAAATGTGTTTCCTGGAATGCATCGACGATTATTTTACGCAACAAATTTGCATATAACTGGTACAAATGGAAATAATTATTTTTGAGAACAATGCAGGTGATGGTAATCTCTTCATCTGGGTCTTTGTAGCTGTTTTTTTGTTGTTTTAGAGAATGCATGCATTGCTGCATTTCTGAATAAATACGTTTTAGTGTGATATTTAATTGGTACAGTAATGATACATAATTAAAAAAAAAAAATTGATTCGGCGCAGGTATGCGATGATTAAAAGAAATGTTTGAGTTTTAGTAGTTTCTGAAACAATAAGAAGCTAAGAGGAGGGGTAGAAAAGGGCGTGTTTGGAGAAAGGAGATCACCAGGAAGTTGAAGATATATAACGAGCTGAACCCCTCATGGACACACACACTCTCACTGAAACTGTTGACCAAATCATCACGCAGCAGCATGAAATTCCTCACCGTGAGTAAATTTTTAGTGTCAGTGCTCTTGTGAATTTGAAAAAAGCGGTTGCTAATATTAATGAAAGTGATTAACTGCCATCTGTTACCGTCAAATTTAATTGCACGCTAAAGCCGTCTCGACGGTTTATGTAAATTTATTCTCGTTCGAATTGGACGCCTAAAAAGCAATAAAATATAGGATAGTGCTGCACGACATTCTGTACTAATTAACTTTCATTTTCGATTTGTTCCCAGTTCACATTTCTTGCTTTGGTCGCTCTCACCAGTGGCCAAAGAGTTCAAGAAAAACGTGGAGTTGTTGCCGATCAGCAGGCCTACACCGCTCAGGCGCCGGCCGCCGCCATAGCTTACACTAAAGTGCAGCAACCATTACAAAAAGCCGTCGTTGCCGCAGGCCCTCAACCTCAGTTCTATACCCAACAGGCCGCCGCCCCCGCGGCTTACGCCCTTCCTGCCCAGCAGCAATTTCAATATCAACCTCAAGCACAAGCTGTCGCTTATCCCCAACAAACCTTTTCTAAATACGCCGCCGCCGCTGGCTTCCAAGACACCGCAGCCCAAGGGGTAGCTAAGGTACTGTATTGGAACATTGTTGTCGGATGCATATTATTATTATTCTGCTCTTCTGTCTAAATTAAAAAAAAGAGGAGCTGAGTAAACGAAAATGATGAACTATTAAGGGTAATATTTAAAATTCGTAAAAAGAAGAAGGTGGAAAAATGTGTAGGGCCTTGTGGCTATTCCTTATTTAACAGCAGACAGAAATTCAAAGCTGTATAGCGCTTAAACTCAAGATTTTTTCAGTGAGGGTACCATTTTTACTTTGTTTTTTCGAACAAAGATATTTTAGGATTTTGCAAATATTTTTCATAATTTTTTATTTTTTTGCCTTTACATATGAAATCTGATACAGAATAGTTTTTTTGTGTCAGTAAAAAACACTATTCACTTTTATGGCAATATTCAAATTTTGTGTTCACTTTTTGTTTTCATATTTGACTTTCTTGTAGATATTTTTTATGTCTTACATAAATAATTTTAAAATGCGAGGATATTTTTAGATTTATTTGGTACTGTTTTGGCGGAGACAAAAAATAAGATTTTTCATGACCACCAACTTAAGTAGTTGTTGCAATTAGCTGAACTACTTAATCTATATAAAAAAATAATTAATTAATTTTTTAAATATAAATTGTTCTAAAATTATTTGTAGCTGTCTAATAAAAAGTTTGGATAATTACAAGATATAAAATAACCGTTAGTAGGTACTTAGAAAAACCGTTATAGACTTGGCTGCAGAGGTTATTGTCTTTAATCATCTTATGACGCTCTACTTTGTTAACTGCTCACTTAAGTCTAGAATCCAGCCACTGAAACAGTTTCGTCATTGAAATCACATCTGAAAGTAAAAGTAAGTGAAAGTTCAAGCTAGGGCGTCAGATATGTGTTTATAACAGACCCAATCGTTTTTCAAAAGGTTCTGTATAAATGAATAATGGATATATTTTTTTGGTTCATCGTTTAATATTTTTCACAAAATTTTCGTATAATTTTTGTTACATACATATGTGCCATTGTGTCTAAAAATGTAAAACGAATGTAATTTCCTTTTTTTTTTTGTTTTTTTGTGTTGAATATTTTACATAGTTAAATCAGTAAAAACATTACATTTTAATAGTAACTGGTTAATTTTGATATGGTTTGGCAGAAAATCTTTAAGAATCGCATTTTTATTTAACATCAGTTTTTTTGTGAGATAACTGCCATGCAATATTTTAGACAAGATTTTGACAGTGTAGAGCACATTTTGTTTTTAAATGTTAGTATGTCTTAGCGACATTAATTAAACTTTTTTTCACGTAGTATAACAGATGTTAACCTATAATTCGGTTGTATTTGTTAATTCAGGACGGCAAATTGAGCAAACCAAAAACACGACTATTGCAGAATAAAGTTGTAAAACAAAAAAAGAAATTCGTGGGAGACCATGAAATGCTAAGTACGATTTTAGTGAAATTTTTTATTTGCTTTTCTCTGTATAAGAATATTTTGTTAGCGATAACGTAAGTTAAACATTTTTTATATTATTTAGAAGAAGGAAAAGTTCATATTTTTGTAGAAAGTCGCATCTTAACGAAGGTTTAGTTTTTCTGTTAAAAAAATTACTCACGATTTTGAAAGTTTTTTTTTCTATATAAAATTTGCATATGTGTCTAGAAACTTTGTGACTAAGATGAACATGATCAAGGGACCTGCTTGATAATTGCCATTAATCATGTAGCTTTGAATATTACATTAACTGTTAACAATTGTGTGTTAATGTGGTCATTAATCTGGTTAACGGTTTACTTAAAACGTGTTCGTATTGTCAATTCTAATTTGAATTTTAAATAACTTAAAAAATGATGTGCAGAATAACTGCGAAAGTGCTATTTAACTATTGTCACTTAAAATTGTTTGCCAACGAGTGTAAAAAGTTTTAATACCTTAAATCAAGTTGTGCATACCTTTCACGTAAAACAGGGTGATAAAGCCATCAAACCTAAATGAGCCATCACTTCGTGCAAGTCGATGCCTCGAGGTCAGTTCACGCACCTCACTTTTACATGTTGCCGATCATGAATATTCCGATCGAATTCTAATCGCTTTCTTTCTAATCGGAGCAATTTAAAAGAAATTAGAAAGCGCGAAGGTCGTTACATTCACCTTGACCTCTGATGAAAATCGTTTCCGTGAAAGTGAAATTGAATTTTCAATTAATTATTTCGCAGGTGGCTCCTGCCGTGTACAGGCAACCGTTCTCGCTGGCCAACGACGTCTCGTCCTTCACCTACTCTAGTCCCGTCGTGACTTACAATAACTTGGGACTTCTGTCGCAAGTAGTTGGAAAGATCGCTAACCCTCCAGTACAAGTACAAGCCAAAGCTGCTGCGCCCGGGGCACCAGCTCCTGCCGCCTACCAAGCTCAAGTGCAAGCTGCTCCCGCTCAACTAGCTTACGCTCCCACACAGGCCAAGTTTGCTCTTCCTGCCGCTCAGCCGACTCACAGGTTTGTGTCTGCTCCTGCTCCTCAACAGTATTTGGCGCAAGCACAGCAACAGGCTTACGTTTCCGCCCCTCAAGCCCAGACTTATCAGGCCGCCCAGGCATACTCGGCACAGGCTGCGCACGCTGCACAGGCTGCGCATGCTGCACAGGCTGCTCAGTCGATTCCTCAGTCTCTTTATGCTCAAGCACCACAACTCTACAGCGCAGCTCAACAATCCAAGCAAGTTAGTGCCGGAGTCGCATATGCTCAGTAATTTGGTGGATTTTAGTCACTGTTGTACATACTTCCTAGTAGCTAGACTGTTAAGTTAAGGCAATACCTTTTAGTATTATCGCGAGGTGTTATTATTTAATAAAGGTTTTTTTAACTAACTCAGTTTCTTTTTTTAAACTCTCTGAAGAAATTTAGTTTTCTTTTTTGGAAAATCAGGGTATATTTTTCAGCCACTACCACCTTTCCTTTTGTTTGAAAAGTTAATAAATTGTATCCAACATATATTTAAAGTTTATAATGTATAATTTAATGAGTCTTCTAAAAGATGTTTATAAACTCTGTAAGATTCCAGAATTAAAGAAGATGGTTAGTGATTATAAAAAACATATAATAGTTACAACATAAAAAAAGGTTATCCAAATATTTTAGGGAGAATAAGCGAAAACTAAAAGAGATGATTTTAATAGATTAAATACTAGTAAGTTCAATTCGAAGGACATTTATGGACTTTCACAAGAACTTGTGAATTTTGTCAAAGATATCTTTATTTTTATATTTACGAAACTGTTTAATCCCAGGTGTCCCAGCGCACCTGTTCTACTCAAATATCTCAATTGTTTTAAAACATAAAAATTTGAACTTAGGCATGTTCAGTATGTGTAAGTAATACAATCTATTAAATGAGTAGACTATTGGCATCGCATTAGCTTCAGTTTCACCGAAAATGATATCAACTTTTTCTAAATCTAAAAGAGTACAGTTTATAGTACTACAAAAGAGAGCATATTTTCTCTTTTCAATAATATACGACTCGGTATAACAGTATTCATCTAGAAGCTTTAAAACGCTTGTAAATAAATAAATAATAATAATAAAAAAATACGGTGGCGTTTTTCAAGCAATGTTTCCTTTTATTTTCGTTTTCTGGTTTGTCACTTCTAGATTAAAATAAATAAAATATTGTAGTGCCAAAAAATGGAAAACGAAAGATTCAGCAATGCTGAAAATTTAGGTATAATACTTATTTACGGAGAGTGTAGGCGAAATAAAAGACAATCCAGAACATTATAGGAAGAAAGATTTCATTTCATTTACATCAAGCTTTAAGTACCACCTGATTTTGAAATAAGATTGGCTTTTATTGCTTGGCTAACGGAGGCACGTGAAGAGGATACTCGTTTTAATAATAATGGAATTGTGCATCGACATACTTGCCATTACTAGCCTTCAGAAAATCCTCACTGGCTACGAGGAAGTAATTTTCAACACATTTGGGATATCAACGTTTGCTGTGGAATAATCAATAGTCAATTGTCGGACCTAAATTTTACGAAGGAAATCTAAATTCGCAAATTTATTTGGAATTTCTTGTAAACGAAATTCCTGTGTTATTAGAAGATTCTCTATTTGTCGTTAGGGAAAAAATGTATTTTCAGCAAGATGGTGCATCACTACATAACGCGCCAATAATAACAGATTATTTGAATGATACATTTCCTCATAGATGGATTGACAAAAATGGAGCAATTTGGTGGCCTGCCAGATCTCCAGATATAACACCTCTCGATTTTTTGTGGGTCTACTTAAAAGATAGAGTGTATTAGCAACCTCTTAAGCAAAGAATTAGGGTAGAATGTGATAGGATTAACCCAGAAATGTTACAAGTAGAAACAAGTAGGGGTCTACTTCATCGAAAGAATGTTGTTTAGAGGCAGAAGGTCGTCAATTTGAACATTTAATTTAAAGTTATTATTGTGTTTGTATGTTTTATCTTGCTTTAAACTTTGATTTTATTAAAATACTAAGTTGCATAAAACATTCAAGTAAATAACATCGTATCATGGGATATATCGTTGAAATGACACAAAAGGGCACTATTTAATGTATTGAAACGTTATACCTTTTTGTATTAAAATTGTAAGAAATTTTAAGTCATTTTCGGCGAAACTGAAAGCTATCTATCTAATAGGCTGTGTTACATTTATTGAACATGCCAAATTTCAGTTTTTTATGTTTTAAATTACCTAATTGAGATATTTAAGCCGAACAGGTATGCTGGGACAATTTTAGAAGCAATAGGATATACGGAATCTATGTGTTATTAATTTGTTCTTCAAATGGTACTCCATTATCCATGATCTTTAATATGGGTTGCTTTGGACAATGGTACACCATCGATTGCATAAACTGACATAGCACTGTATTTTCTACGAGTATACGCAGCTACAGAACATTTGGCAACATTTTAAAATTATTATTATTATTATTATTATTATTGGTCATAATTAAGTAGAGCTCTAATGAGCTATAATACTCTCTAGAAATATTCGCATCAAATTATTGCCACATATAAAATTTGTCCAATCGGTTTTGAATATATTTGTATTTTCAGATTCAATAATAACAGTAGGCAGTTTATTCCAATCATTAATTAGCCTTATAGAAAGAAAATTTCTTCTGATATTCGTTTTACATTGTGGTGTTGATATGTGTAATCGGTGTCCTCTTAATCGTTCACTTTTCCTCAAATGGAAATAATCAGCCCCGTCTTTACCCAGTCTTAGAATTTTATACGCATATATTAAATCACCTCTTAATTTTCTTTCAGATAAGGAAATGAGGTTCATACTTTTTATTCTTCTGCTATATTCAGGTCTTCGTCTACTAAAACACCACCTTGTAAGTCTTCGTTGGGCATTTTCATAGGTTTCTAAATCTTGTAATCTGCTCGGAGACCATACCACACTTGTAAATTCAAGAATTGGTCTAATGTACATTTTAAATAATTGTGCCCTGATACTAATGTTTGTTTTAGCGAAGGATCCATCTAAAATGTACATTCGCGAATTGGCTTTCTTTACTTGCCTTAAAATGTGATTCGTTCATGATAATTTTTTGTCAATTAATACACCTAAATCATTGTGCTCCAAAACCTTGGATAAGCTGACACCATTAAGTACATAATTTTTTTCTGGATTATTTTTTCCAATATGCAGCACTACACATTTTTTTGTGTTAAGTGGCACTCCCCAATTCTCACTCCAGTTAAAAATTTTATTTAGATCGTTTTGCAAGTTATACGAATTTGCAACATCATTATATAACTTTATATCATCAGCATACATTGCACAAGAAGAAACCATGTCATGTGGAATGTCAGCAACGTACACAAGAAACAATTTGGGCCCTAAGACCGAACCCTGGGGTACTCCACTTATAACATTATAAATGTCACTAAGCTGTTTGGAAACTCTAACACAAAATTTTCTGTTAGTGAGGAAAGACTGTATCCAAGCCAATAGAAGTCCACTAACTCCATAAGCTCTCAGCTTTAACAGAAGCAGATTTAGAGGTACCTTGTCGAACGCTTTAGCAAAATCTAAGTAGTGCGACGAAATTCCGGATGAGAGGGACGGACGGTCCGGTGACGGTCCGGAATCTCGCCGATAACGTATGGGGTGGCGGCGTACTTGGGTGCCAAGCTTTGGGTCGACTAGTATCGCTGATATCAGTAACACGTCTGGTCGACCAAGCTTATGCGGCTACCTTCACGCCGCCGGGGGTGGCGCCTTCGGTCAGGAGCGACGGTCGCTCGGGCGCCAGCTCCCTCTCCGGGGGAGGGAGCGCCGGGGTGCTCTAAAGCCGGAGACACGGAATTCAGGTGATGAGCCGCCGCGAAAACCCGAGAATAAATAAAATAAAACGGCAAGAGATATTTTACAATAAAATAGGGTTTATTCCCTGCCACCAGCTACACGTTCTAAGATAATAAATCTTACGGCTAATCAACTTAAATAACTACAGAACGGTTTTACAACAAAAAAAAAATTAAATGTCCGGCACGGTCGTTCCTTCTGGGCGACTTCCTTCAAGCCGGGCTCCTCTTGGCTCTGGGGGCGGCGACCTTGAACCTGGAAATCGCGCGAAGACGGTACGGCGACCCGGGAGGGGAGCGCGGTGACGGTAACGACGCGTGCACGACGGTGTCGACTTTCGACGGTGACAAAAAAAACGCGGTGACGGTGACACGGTTTCTCGCTCGGGGGCGGCGATTCCAAAACCGGTACAAAACAGGCAGGCGACCCGAAAAGGTACTTACGGTGGTCGGAGGGTCAACTGCAGACTTTATCACACTTCTCAAAAACACTCTTCACCAGGACAGCAGCCACACACTTCCGCACTCTCTGGAGTTGCAGGGAAGAATCCTCTTCCGCCGCGGCGGCGCGGCGGTCGCCAATTTACCCCCGGCTCTCGCGGTACGCGGCACGGTTTCCGGCCCGCGAAAATTCGCTTCGTTACACTCCCCCCTTTCGTCGGTAAAAAAAAGGAGTGTAACTTCTTTTTTTTCTCTCTTCGAAGACGGCTTTCCTTCCTGTGCAGCTCTGGTGGACTGAAGTTCCGGTTCAGACGGCGGGGTCCGGGACTCGTCAGTGACGGTGGTGTGTCTTCAACTGTCTTGGGGCAACTCGGAGTCATCCTCGGAGAACCGTTTCAAGTCCTTGATGTGAATGCGGCGGTAGATACGTCCCGTTGCACTTCTCAAGTTGTACACAACCGGCGAGACCACCTTGCAGACGGTGTACGGCCCCGAGTATTTAGGGGCGAGTTTCGCCGCGAAAGCGTTGGCTCCGGAGGACAATGGATGCTCGCGTCTCATTACCTTATCGCCCACGTGGCATTTCCATTCCCGGTGGCGAAGGTTGTAGTGGTGGCTCTGCGTGGTGAATGCTCTTGCCAAGTTCACCCGGACTAACTGGTACAGCTCTCTGAGTTTGGCCAAATGCGCAAGGAAGTGCGATGTCACGGTCAGGGACTCTTCGACGGTGGCGTCGGGATCGTCGGCCAAGGAACGGAGCAGGCATTTCGGTGGGTCGAGCTCACGACCAAAATTCAAGAACGCTGGTGAAAATCCGGTAGACTCCTGTCGAGCAGTGTTGATGGCGAAAATCAACTCCGGGAGGAACTGATCCCAAGTCCGGTGATCCTGTTCGCAAAACTCGGCGATCATGGTCTTCAGCGTTTTATTAGCTCTCTCGACGGGATTCGCTTGCGGTGTGTACGGTGGTGTGAAGCGGTGTTGAATCCCCAAGTCGGCCAGAAGCGAATTGAAAGTTCTACTATCGAACTGGGTGCCGTTGTCGGTGATGACGGTTCTTGG